ACCTAAAAGAACGTTGATTTTTACCAATCATGAGTTTGTGTAAATTTTAAATCTGATGATGGCGCTGTTGTCTCGCCGAAACGTAATAAAATAAACGACATTAAAAACAATTTTTACTTCACACTTTGACTGAGACCCAGGAAAGATATGAATATAGGTAATAGTTAAGAACAGATATAATTTTAATTCGAATGGGACCTTCAAATATTGCCAAACCATACTCAGCAGCAGTGAAATAAAGCGATTATCGAAATTCTAAGTTGACTATTAGTGAGCAATCCCCTAAGTATAATTTTTCGCATCCTCTACAGCATCGTTAATACGGCAGCTCCCCAGCTCTAAGAAATCTTCTCACGGTTCTCGCTTTTGATGGATTGAATAAGTTTTGACAGGAAATTTTAATGTAAGACAAGATTAAGTAGAAAGGCAATTTAGGAAACCGAAACACGTATTTTCTTCGCAGCTCGGGGGTCAAATCTCTAAAGAATAATTCGAAAAGTCGGGAAATATCTGGCGTTATACATCTCCATTTGAGGCGCTGTTTCATTTCGCAGCTCCCAGTTTTATTAAATGGATTTTTAATATGTTGCTAGATTCATTGGATTTAATTCGTTAGAAACAAATTGGCCAATTTTCTCTTTCATTAGCGCAAAGTTCCCTGCATAAAGGGGCAAAGTTGAAACTTTGCTTTATTATGGAGCTGAAGAATGCAAACGAGAACTAAAATGTGAAGAAGGATTCGCTTAGGAAGTTTTTTTCGATATGCGATTAAGGCAGGCAATTTTTAATTGGCTCTTAAATTTTCATAGATTAGTTGATCCAAAATTTCCGAATTCAAAGCTTCAAATTCAGTTGGTGGATTGTCCAACATTTCGCAGCCAAAATTTCAATCTTTAAACCCCGAAGGGGAAATGCTTGCAAATCCTTGCTATTGCAGCAGCATAGATGAAATACTTCGGAAAATTTGCGTTAACCAGTCGCTAAAACTTGCAGAGAAAATTCATTAAGCCGCGCATTTGTCTCCATTGTTCTACGATTCGGGCACGACTAAAAGTTTAACAAGATCGCACTAAGGTTCTTCGGATTGTTAAATCTTGCTCGGGAATTTTTGGAATATGCCAACCTGATTTATCAGCCCCAGCTGGCGTTTACGGCAACATTTTTTCAAGGTTTATTATTAAAAGCGAAACAATTAATTTAAATGGGTGCGCTCGCGCTGTTTTTTAGAGGCTCGAAATAATTCATACCGGTGTTGCATCTGCTGCTTCGCATAAAAGGGCTTGTTGCAATTTGCACTAAATGAGCTTTTGCAGCTTTGCATTCTTTGTTACAAACTCAGTTGCAGGCAAGTGCATTTTATTAGGTGACACTGAAACTGTATTTTTGTAAAATCAGTGAAATGTGCATGATGGTTGATAAATCTATTCAGCTTGGTGGATTTTGTCAATACTTAAAACTTGCCCTTTATCAGTACCCAAATAAAATTCTAATTACCCCGCGCCACGTCCCAAAAACGCGCAAAAAACAAGAACAAGTCTTTCGCTTTAAAATGCTTAAAAGCAATTTTTGCGACCCGCCAGGCCTCTTACTTAGTTAAAATGGTAGTCACGTCTCGCACTTTAAACTTTAACCCGCTTCAAGTTTTATTTCTCGCTGCGACGGTTCTCATATCATAAAGCACAAAAAGTCGTCTCTCTTGTGGGACGATTGCCAAAAATATAAATGTATATAAACTCGTTTTCATTTATATGGTAAATAAAAGTGTGGTCGGTACAGTGTGGCTGAACACACCCCGAACGATCTACGGTCGTTGTTACAAAATTGCTGGCGGTTTATCGGTTTTCCCTGTCGGATGTACAATCAGCATTCGGAATTAACATATTCATAAGAGTGGAAGACTTAAATGGGCATCTGCAGCTGTAAATCACCTCAAAAGTATCCTGAAATTGCATTTAAATGAAATTAATTTAAAAAATCTAATTGGAAAATTCCAGGCGAAACTATTAAAGGACTCTTCTCCCACATCCGTTTAATAGATTACTCTGCACGTATATTACCACCCTATTTTTTCGGCTTTCGCTGCTAAAGTTAATTAATATCAAGTTAGGCCCTAGTGGAGGCCATTTGACGAAATCCTTTTATACTGGCCAGTTTCATAAATCATCAATACGTTCCTAATGGACTCCTAATTTAGGGCCTATAAATAACCAGCTGCTACAATTCCAGTCCCAAAGAAACAAAATGAGCTGTAAATGTCCATTAAATGGACATAATTACTATCCAGGCTTCATCATTTAAACGCAGTTTTTCAGTGAGTTCAGGGAACATTCTATTTTTGTGCCAGAAATTCGACGCTTAGCACTTTGCTCAAAAGTAACTCGGCCTTAATGGTGGATAAAACTGAAACTACAATTATTCCAAGGAACGTCCAAGTCAACGGTAAAAGAAATAAATGGAGTGCAAAGAAGGCGCAAATGAGCACAATTATTATTAACGAAATGAGCGCCAGTGAGGCCAAATCGCTCGAAAATAATTGCCAAAGTTTCCAGACATTTTAGAGCCGAAGCTCTATGATTATACACACCTTCTATTTAACGTTTACTGGTAATTAATAGTTTAGGTTTGAGTTGGAAGTTTTATTATCACACATTTTTCTGGGATTTTTTTTGGTCAAAACATAAAGAAAATTTTGGCTTTTTGATTTTCAGATGCCGAGACATAAACCCGCCCTCATACTTTTTTGCTTGGGCCTTTTGGTTTTGGGCGCCTTTCCTTCCAGACAGTCTGCTCTACCAGAGAATAAGGTAAGGTGATTTGTCGCAAAAAATTACTACAACAAAACATTAGTGAAGAAATTGTAAACTGAAAAATCTAATCGGTTAAAGATCGTAATCGCTTAAAGGCGGTTTAAATTGCTCAACATTTTCGCTTATTGTCGCCACGCGTTTTTTTTCTTTGATCACTGTTTAAAATTTATATCACTTCGGGCAATTTGTCAGTTTTGAAAAAATCAGAAAATGTAACGAAAATATCGGTTAACGCGGATTTGAAGCTTCTAACGTATTTTTCAATGAGCTGTGCATTCCTTGCTTAGTTGTGGTAAAAATGATGAAGAATTTGAGGCTTCATGTTTTTCGAAAAAAACAGACAAAAAGTGTGAAATAAAAAAATAGATTTGAAGCGTTTGAGTCAGTAATAAGGAAAATATCGTGGGTTAATGGAAAATATTGTGATTGCTTAAAAGCGTCTAAACTTTAATAGAAAATGTGGATTATTATGGATCTGAAGACTCTAGCTTATTATCCGGTCAACTCTTTGATTCCTTGCTCCATTCTGATAAAAATTATGCGAAATCCGGGCAATTTTGAAATTTTTTGAAAAAATCGACCTCCAGCCTAAAATTTTTAATTAAAAATAAAAGTTTTACATGCACGTTTTTTATGGTCGATTAATTATTTTCGACCTTAAAAGCTTATTCATATGCATAAGTTAACCGTTTGGGTCGATAAGAAGGAAATCGAGTAAAAATCGGGATTGCTCAAAAACCGCTAAAATGAACCAAAAATGTAGATTATTTTGGATTTGAAGGTTCAAGCTATTTTTTAGTAAGCTCTGCTTCATTATGATAAAAACGAAGTAGAATTTCAGGAATTTGCGAAAAGTGAAATTTTTTGAAAAAATTGACTCCGAAATGGGGGATGAAATTTTCGGTCAAAAATCAAAATTTTACATTCGTGTTTTTTGAGCTTAATGAATGATTTCCGACCTAATAAACGTTCCTGTATGAATACATAAAATGTTTGAGCCAATAATAAGGAAATTTTCGTCGTTGCTCAAAGACCGATAAAAATGAACGGAAATTGTGGATTATTTTCGATTGAAACCGTTTGGCGTCTTTTTTGATCAGCTCCTTTCTTCTGGCAAAAACTTTGTAAATTAAAGCATTAATATTTCTAAAACAATTTCCACCCTCACCCTTACTGAACAAAACACATTAAATACCAATAAATGCATCGATATCGATAAAAAATCCGCATTCTGTTGGTAAAAGAACATCGATTTAGAAATTCTTCATTAAACCGCGAATCCAGTGTCTTAAGCAACTAATTCAGGCCTCATTTGTAATAAACAGCAAAATACTTTTGATCCAATCCAAGCTCGGCAACTTCGGCCCCATTAAGAACTTTGCTTTTACTCTATATTAAGTTGCGTGACTCGTAAAAATCTTGAAGCCAACTAAAGGCCAATAAAACGTACCGCATAACACTTTGCCCATAGAGAGATGAAGTATCCATCATCTAGGCCATTCAATTTTTCCACCAATACCAGGACAGACAGATATTGCGTCACGTATTATTTCGGGGCATCCTGAACCGAGGGTAGAAATTTATTCCGAAGGGTGTAATAACCTTAGCCGTCAGCCTTTATGGCCAGTTTTATTTATACACATAAATAGAAGATTCGATTCTTCTGCGGCTCTCTGCTGAGTCTTATTCTTGATTTTACTCGGGTTGGTTTTATACCACTGATAAACTACCCAAAAGGTGTAGTGTCCTTAAATAAATATCCGAGGGTGATTTTCCCTGTCGGGGGATGGCAATAGTTTAAAAAGGGGAAACTAGTTTGGCGAGAGATGAATGTGTTGCGCTGTCTTCAGGTCTTTAATGACAATTTTTTAAGTTCCTCCCATTTTCACCAAGCGAACTTCATGGAAGCATTTCGCCTGCAGTTATTTGCGGGCTAACCAGGAGAGTGGCCGTCTTGGGTCTTGTTGACTTTTGAAGGCTAATTCCTGAACATTTCAGCTTCTCGATGAGAATTTTCCCAGTTTGACTGTTTCCCCATTCAATAAACCCATCCGCTTCCCGCGGCCATTGAAAAATCTCATATCAAAGGCTTGTTCTAAAGCACGTCCTCCTTTTATTCCTTCGGATAATAAAGGGATTAACCATGGACCGATCCAGTTGAATTAAATCCGGCCGGCTTAGTTTCTTCCGCAAAAAGACATCGCTGTCCGATCCTCATATCATTTTCAATATCAAAACTAATTTTGTATCGACAGCTACACAGTTCAATGCGTAATCTCTCTCCCATGAGGGAAATGCCATATAAACGAGATACGCTTTGTATCGGGGGTTCTTTATGGAAAAGTGGAAAAAATCCTGGATATTGTTGAGAGAGAATGCCGGGAAAAATGTTGATCTCCTATATTATATGAGGCCATAAAAATAACAGTAAATGGCAAAAGGGCTGAAGGAGGATGCAATTTTGATTTCCAATAAAGTCTGGGTGTGGCACATGCTGTAATATGTAGGCTGTTAGGGATTGAACAGAATTTTCTTTGATTCGTGTAAACTACAAAGGTCTAGTTGTTAATGGAAGTCATAACTTGCGGCTTTACTGCCACACTGGCCTATGGAGAAGTTGGGAGATAAAATTTGCCATTTTAATGGTTAATTACACTTTCATCCAGCTGCAGACATAAAATTATAACTCCCTTGTTTTACTGTCTTGGATATTCCGCAAAGAAACTGCCATTACCCTGCTTTGTCTTCTCGAATTTTACTGCATATGAGCGGGAGTGGAATTCCCCCAAACATTTAACAATACGACAAGATTAAATGTGCAATTTTGCAACTTTCGGGTTTCACCCCAAGAATTTAATTATTTCCAGCCCGGGATGAAAACATGTCTGATAAGAACTGATATTCCACATTAAAGAGACGAATCGACCGACCTCTATCTATACTGGAAACCTAAACCTGAAGGATTATGGCCCTTAATTAATGATGTCATCTTTCATAAAGCGAGCAAGGAGTGGATTAGGGGCTAACGCATTTTAGAGTTCTGCGGAGAAGCCGAAATCTTTTTGGGGTTAAATTAATGGAAGAAAAATCATCATTTATAATGCTACCAACGGGTATGGCATGTAATTAATGGATCGGCGTAAGCTTGAAATATCACTTCGGCAATGTTAGATTTGTCACACATTTATATTGGGTGACAAATTGCCTGGATGTTAAAACGGAAAAAAAAATTTTGCATAGTCTTTCCGGGATCGCCCATAAGTTTATGATGAATATTTTATAGTAGCTTTTTACTAGTCGTCTCACCCTCCCTGAGAAGGGATTTGCAAAGTTCGGATTTGTGGAAGCGCGCTATCGAGTGAATCTGTACTTAAATCTGAACCTTTTAGATGATCTCACGTCACGGCCAAAATCACATACTATATTATTCCGTTTGCTGCGAACAAATTTGTTTAGTATGTATAGAGCTTAGACAAGTTTAAATCCGTTTAGTCGTCGTGCTTTAAGCTCCTTTCGTCCTCTTTGCACTTTGCCCAATTCTTTCCATCCCTCGGGCGTTCTTTCGATAAAAAGCCTTCCAATTAATTATTTAAAATACCGATGACAATAAGCAATTAGCTGCCGAAAAAGGTCGTTAATAATCAGCGAGGGAACGGTGGAAAATTGATTTAAAAAACATAATGACGACCCTCCATATGAACCAAATAATGGCAAGTCGATTCCCATTATGTTTCATGCCGCTGGCCAACAACCAACCATTTCGCATAAATTGTGAAATAATCGGAAAATCGCGTTTGTGGTACGCGAATAGATTATCGAGGGCAACATTTCCATACAGATACATCAGTTTTTGCATGTTTTGATAATTGGAAAAAATGAGCGGTTGGGAATTTTTAAGGATCATAAACATCTCAGGCCTTTTTATTTAATTTGGCAAGGTCTGAAGTGATTGAAACTCAATTGGACAGAAACAGGAAAAACACCGCACATTCGACGCAAGCAAATTAACTTGTTTTTAAGAAAAGTTTTGGGAAGAGTTTTAAAGTTGCAATTTACTGGAAAGCTGCGATTTTCTAGTGCAAAGCCAGCCTACAAGATCCGAGCAACACAGAAAAGTTTAGCAAGTTGATTTGGAAACTGTCAGCTCTTGCTACGCCTCGGGAAGTAAATCTGCAGTGAAAAATTCGAAAATCTCTTACGGTAATGTGTCATCAAGAGTCGCACCATTTGCATAATGACGTAATTTATTTCCGACTTTTCGCGAGTGCAAAAATCGCGAAGCTTCCGAGTTGGGCTAATGCTAGCCAGCTTTAAGCTTGCCCAATATTTTTCCTCGGCTCCCCGGATATTTTCAAAGCAATAGAATCGCAAAACCCGTTAATTTATTTGCTCAGTTTGGTTTTATGCGGAAAATATTCAAAAAGGTAATTTTTGCCATTGTCACGCCCAGAATGGGATGCTTCAAGGGCACATACAGGGTGGAGAACTTTATCAGAAAATTCCACTTGATAGCCGGGAGATGAATATTTTCCACCGTCTTGGTTAAATGTGAGTGTAGTTTTCCTAGTTGAAGCATCTCCATTCCGTGCAATTTAAGAGCGTTATTGAACGAAAGCATTGAAACCATTTTATGAAGTGTAAAAATTCTTTAAAATTAAAGCTTTTAACATTAGCCAAATTAATTTCGAATCAGTGATTTGGAAAGCACGAAATTTAAAAAATTCCAACAAATATTTTATTAGCCATATCAGGGCGAAAAATGGAAAGCAACCCGATTTTAAAATTAATTAAATTTTTCAGAAATGATAGCGAAAAGCTGTGATGTATCTAAGCTCAAATGTAGGTCACATATGAAAATCTAAAACAGGCAAATTTACTCGCCGTAATACGATAGCGAAATGCAAGCCGCAGAAACATGATTTTCGGGGAAAATGAACATATTTCTCAGTTAGTTTTCTATGAAGTTTCCCCTACAAAAGCGGCTCGTTTGCACCAAA